TGTTTAATTAGGTGCAGGAGTTTTGAATAAGTATTTGAATCTTGCTAATTTATTGTGTTTCAGGCTATGAATGAAGAGTTTGGTCTAGAATGGCTTTAAGTCAGACTGAGGAATAACAGTCATTGCCCAACTCTGATTTCCTTGATTAAATATTTAAATTACACAATCCCTAACTTCCTTTGCAGTCTATTAGCCCCTAAAAATATTGAACTCCTGTATGTAGAAAAGTGTTTTGCATTTGTTAAGTGTAAGTTAGAGTTGTGTGACAATGGGATGTTTATTTTGGTTTTGGTTTTGTCTTAGTTGTACATCACCAAATCATGTATGTTCAATTTATGTCTGAACAATGGCGTCTATAAAATGTTTATCTAAATGAGAGAGAAAGGCCATTGCTAGTTCTAAAATTCAGCTTCTGGATTATCTACACGAGCATTTACTTTATGATTTGAGAAACAATTGGCGTATTTGAAATTTAGCTCTACCATTATTCCTTCCCAAATGTGATGCCCCCTGCTACATGTGTTCACCAGCACAAGTCAAAACTAGTGCAGTTCAGTTGGAGCTACAAAATTAAAGTATAAACAGTGGCAGAGTTGCCTAATTCCTGGGGTTTTGTTTAAAAAGTCAAATACTGTGCACACATACATTTTGCTCGTTCAGTTTTTCACTGTGCTCCACCACAGTAGCTCAAAGAAGATTAAAGCAGAAAAATAACCTCCACACATACAAAGCCCAAACCTGAGGTTGTGTGTAAGCTACTGCGCTGGCATGAATGCGGTTTGATTCTTGGCACCGACAGCTTGCTGGAGAATTACAATATGTTGGCATCGGTCTCCAGGTCTCATTGTTCCAGCCCAGGGAGTCGGTCTTAAGAGGGTTTGGCACCAGAGGGAAAATGGAGTGAGAGTTACAGGGAATGAACAGGCCCTAAAGAGGCAGGATGCTGCCGTAACAATGGCTGGCAAGTTCAGGGGTTCTCTGGTGGGGTTGCCATAGGCAGCGAAGTGAGGAGGCAAATGTGAGCCAGAGAGAAGAGAGAAGCCAGCCAGTATGTCTAATGGCTGGGGATGGCAGAGAGGAGCAGAAGTGATTTCATAGACTCGTCTTCATGTGTGGACAGATGATGGCCATTTCCTAGGCTCTAATGTTCCATGGCTTATTTTCTTCACATTTATTTTACATTATCTTTTAAAATGCATGTGTTTAGTTTTCTTCTAAAAAGACAAATCCTTGAAGGAAGAGCCCTGGTTTTCGTGGTGTATATGTTGTACTTTGGACTAGCCGAGGTTGGGCAAAGCCTTGTTTTCCTCTGCTACACCATGGAAGATAAAAACTGACAGCATTCTTCAAGCTGAGACACTGCGCCAGAGTCATTGTTGACTCTTACAATGACTTTATTTGAGGAAATCCTTAGTTTTGAGAGTAACCATGAAACTCTAGTACTCAGAGAATGAAGGCCTAAGTGTTTAAAATAAGAAATGCACACCAGGCATGGTAGTACACGCCTTCAATCCCATCACTTGGAGGGCAGAGGCAGGCAGATCTCTGCCAGTTGGGGTCAGCCTAGTCTACATAGTGAGACCCTGTCCAACAACAACAATAACAATAACACATGCTAACAAGCAAAACCATGAAAACAAAAGAGCAGAACAGAACTTGAAAGCTTACTAACACTGCAGTCACCAACCACTCTCAAGGCGTAAAACTCAACCCTGTGTCTTTAAAAGGAAACCTCATTTTTGAAAGCTAAACACTGCATATTGAGCCACTGTCCTTTTTCACGCCGTAAGTAGTGAGTGGTACTTAAGAGCTGTGGTAGACACCCCTTTATTGAATTCACACTTGACAAAACAGGTGGTTGTAAATATTGGGATTTTGCCATTTTGTCTTTTCTGTTTCTAATCATAGATTTTTCTTACTGTTCTCTGAGAAGCTTCATTAATGAGGAGGGCACCTGGCTGTCCCTAGGACTGGACACCTAGCATCACTGTAGGAACCACCTGTCGGGACATGAGACCATGGCAGGAAGTACACAGTGGAAAACAGACATGCCAGGCCTATTTATATGACAGATACAGCTGAAGGTGGAGGCTGAGTGTGCAGACCCCACCCTCTACCAATCGGCTACTCTGGCTAGCTGCTGTCACAGGATAGTGACACTCTGGCTTGTTTTTCACTCATGATCCAGTATCCCTTCTAGTTTATAAGCAAAAGGGGTAAATAAATTGTTCATGCTCACGGGAGGTTTTTTTTTTGTTTTGTTTTGTTTTTGTTTTTGTTTTTTTAATCCAGTGCAAATTCCATAGTGTAAAACCTTATAATTAGATTAAGTTCTGATGCTAATGAGAACTGCAAAAGAAAAAAAAATCTAGCCTTTTAACCCCACGCTTAATACTCACAAAAACATGCTATTCTGGAAAGTTCAGTTCATTCTATGAATTTTTTACTCCAGTGGAGTTCAGAGTGGTTCTCGTAATCTAGAATTCTTCTGCAGAGGAAATGAAGGCGTGTTGTCTGTGTGAGCATGTGTCTTTGCATCTGAAATAACAGGCTGTGAGATTTGGTGAATATCAATCTTATGTACCATGAGAAGTTTGCCATGTCATGCAAAAGGGGCTTTTTCTGTTGCTCAGAACTTAGCCTTCAAAATGGGGGCTTTCTCATCTTGTCGCTGTGCAGACGGGATATTAGGAACAAACAAAACTGTCTCCCATCGTATATTTTAAAGCCCTAGACTGGTCTAATCCTGTTTTTTTGTGTTCTCCTTAGAACCCATAACATGGATGTAATTACATAGTCTCAGACTTCTGGTGACTGTGGAGTAAAAGAGTAGACAGAGGTAGAAACAGCACCATAATCCAAAGACAGAGGCCACTCAGTGTGTATATTTGGAGTCTTAGTCATCCCTGGACGTGACAACCCCAAGTTAGATATATTTCTGATTTTTCCATTTTCACAAACACCCCCACTGTCTTCCCCCCTCCTTCCCTCCCTCCCTCCTATATGCTAAGAGTCAACTTGAACCAGCTATCTGTGAGCCTTATATCTTAACACTTGCTAATAAGGAGGCCAGGAATGTTCTGTAGGTTCCACAAATCTGGCTGCTGTTTCTTTAACTCTGCAACTTTAGACAGAAGACTTCTGTCCCTTTATGAGGCGGCCACAGTAGATATTTTGTCTAGCTGCAAGGGAAAGGCATTGCCACGGACCTGGCAGACAATAGCCTTAAAAGTAAAAAGGTCTGTTTCTGGAGCAGGGAGGCTCAGGGGCCATTGTTAGTCCACAGTGGATTTCTATTGCCACATTCCTGCTTTGCAAAGGTTTGTTAGCTTTTAATGACTGACAGAACTCTCCTGCAAATACCATATTGGCCATGCCCTGTTTACACGCTACTCAAGCAATTTTTTTTTTTGAGCTCTGAATAAAGAAACAGTGGTGCTTGTTTGACCTACTCTGATAAGGTTTAAGAACTGATTTTCCCAGTGCTCGCTGGGAATGTAGACACACTGAAGTTCCTTCCACACAGAAGTATTTTCAAGTCACTGTAAACATCATGATGCCAGTGGAAATACTGATGACAACAGCAGTCTGTACTCTGGCTGATCACAGCATTGCTCCTGTCATTTCCAAAATTGAGACAGAAAAACAGGGGGTGTATTTTAGGAAGATGTGCAAGAAGGCCCATTAGGACTTTCCTTCACTATGGAAAATAGAAATGGGTATTTTGTGACAAAGAGTATTTTAGCCACAGCTCATGAATGGGACATCTACATATATATGGACACAATTTAAAACAATGGCTGATACCTTTTGCCATTTAAATACCACCAATTGTACTTAACCTCAGATTCGATGAAACCCCCTAGGTCAGATAGTCTCTCCAATAAGTTAGCAAGTCATCCCTTTCTGTTCCTCCTAGGAGCAAATAATCATTGTAACAAACAGAAACTCGAGTAGCCACCGTTGTGCAGACAGCAGTGCTTGCAAGGACCCAAGGAAGTAGAGGTAGCCCTGTTGTTTAGATGAGGCACAGGGGACACTTGCCTTTCAGTAGTGTGAGTACTTCCTTTTGTTTTCTAACTTAATGCAAGGCTAATGGGAGAATTGAAATTTGTTGGCTGTCATTGTGTACCCAGCTAGATGCTGACAGGAACATACAACTCCATTGTTTGGAACAGAGTCTAATGTGCGCTGGTTTTTATTACAGTTATATTTACTTATAGTTAAGGTTCAGTACAAAAGGAGAGGGCAGAGCCAGGTATCTACAAAAATGAACCACGTTCTATAACTCATGACCTTGCCTCTAAAATGTGTCTGTCCTATCCCAATATGGGGCGTTTGCAAAAAGCATGATACAAATCTGAAATAAGCAAATAGTGTGTTTCCATTAACTGATATCATTACCCAGTTCACTGGTTTTTGAAATCTTTGGAAGGCTTCTTTTATGTCAACTTTTGCTTGTTTGTTTTTTTATTGTTTTTTCAGTTATTCACTGTGTACTCACAAATCTTGCCACGGTGTGGTGGTTGCCACCACACAGTGTTACACGTATTATGAAGTCCATGGAATTGTAAACACACCGAGAGACATAATTACATGCAGCAGGTTTAAGGGCTAATTCTTTGCCTCTCTTTTTTTCACTCTGCATTTTATCAACATAATTATTTTCTGACTGCAGACGAACACTCTGAAATTGACAAGCCTCCATTATAGTAAGAATGTGTCCACCAAATTTGAAACAATGAACTGTGGGCTCACACAGGCCCATTGTCATGAAGAATTAGCATGGCTTTGTTCTGTAAGGGGAAAAGCTAATGATTTCGAAACAGCAGGTGACCAAACACGCTCTTTTTTTCCCTCCCTGTTATCAGTTTGTTGATGAAGTCATTATGAACTGGGGCCAGGACCAGGATGGCCTTATTCTTAGCAGATAGGCGTCTATGAGCCTGCTGCAAATAGTCACGCTGATTTGCTTATATATGTCTTTTTTCTTTACTTAGATACCCCCAGTATTGAAAAGCTACTCTCAAAGGACTGGAAAGACAAGCTCCTGGCAATGGGATCAGGGAACTTTGGAGAAATAAAAGGTAGGAAGTATTTCTGCTTTTATCTAGAATGTTCAGAAATGATATTGCTGTTTATAAGTCTTAGTGGTTATGGAGTTCTTCTGCCACAGCCCCTCTGCAATGGTGTAGGCTTTTTCCTCCTAGTTGGCAATAGATTGAGGCTCTGTCTGGTTGTTCTCCGTGTACTTTATAGGATCAAGGATGGGGGTTTTTGTTTTCTTATCTTAAGAACGCAAACCCACTCTATCTGTGACTTGCTCTGCTTCTCCTCCTCTTATTTGAGTTAGATGATTTATTTCAAAGGTAAGAATATATCAACACCACACCGAGGTTAGAAACAGCATCTCATAAATTACAACTCACATCTTGCATCTGAAGTATGCATACTTACAATGGACAGCTGGAGCCTGCCGATGAGCAAGGCAGACAGAGTACAAGGATGTTTCAAGTCAGTGTCAGCAGTGTTACTCTTTGAGCTTGTTTGAATCAGCAATTACAACTAATAAAAGCTCTCTGAGGACTTCAGAGAGCACTGAATATTCATATCTTCACAAACTTCCAGGAACAAGGGAGGAGATCTAATTTCCTCGTGTAGAAATGGAAGCAGATGATCGTTTCAATTACTTTTAAGCCACCACTTCTCAGAGTGTGGGGCAGTACACAGCACCCTGTTGCTGCCAGCGGGGTACTTGTGGTCCTAAATTCTAAAGCAGTGTTAATTTTGAGAATGCCAAGATGCTCGGTCATCAACAGCATCACCTTTGCTCATGAACTGTGGTGCTTATCTTTGACAGGTGCTAAATTTAATTTCCAAGCATCCACAGATTAATGTTAGTATATATTTAAATGGATGGCTAAGTCCCTTTGTGATGTATGTATGGGAGTGATGATCTCTCCTGTAAGGTTCTGTCCTATCCAAGTATCCTAGAGCAAAGCAAAGCATTTGTCTTTTCAACTCTTTTGACTCTTTATTCATATCTGGTTGTTTGGAAAGTTCCAGAAAAACAAAAAACAAAAAACATTTGACTGATGATTGTCTGTCAGTCATTTGAGGTTGCATTCGTGCATTCTGGCTTTAGGGGCTGTGAATACATAGTGAGATGAGCTTGAGGGCTCATCAGCAAGTTTGATGAGCGGCGTCTATTCTGGAAGAAAGTTTAAATGAACAATTAGCATGCCTCGGAGCTTGGCAGAACTTAAAGGGAGCACAAAGGGACGCCTCAACTTCCAAGACATCAAGCCTTTCACCTTTTTGATGGATTTTTAACCCATGACCACTGAGGCGAAGGACATACAGTTCCTGTCTTTGTCTTCCACCACTGCCCTCAGCCACCACCGAGCATGGAGCAGAGCAGGCAAGACTGACTGCCTGCTTTTCACCTTGTGCTGGAGTTTCTCCCTCTCTTCCTTCACAAGCCAGACATGAAAGCCTCCATGGCAGCGATGCCAGGCTCAGAGGATAGAGGCTCTGTGCTGTCCTTTGAGCCTAGCCTGGGGGCTACTTTAGGATGCTCCAGTACAATCACAAAAGAAGTTTCTGTCTTTAATTTTGAGTTTTTAAAGCTTCACATTCGGAGCCCAGGTTCAATTATTGTCCCCTGGTTCGTTTTTTTTTTTTTTTTTTTTTAAATCTGTTTCCAGATTAAGCATTTTGAAAGCGACCATTTGTCTTTCTTCTGCAGGACCTGGTTATTAGGTGCTCACCCAGCTTTCCCTGTGAAGTGGGGAAACAGCACTGGGTCACTTTGCCTCCTGACTGTGTGTGACAGTTGCAATTACAAGTCATTGTTTATAGGTGCAGAGGGTACAATGGAAGGTTGCCTCTGGGGTAAATGAATTTGGGGGTCAGTGCCCAGAAATGTGGTTTCTTGCCACTTCAGAAGAAGTCAGAGAACAATGGCTGCCTTGTTTCAGCAGCTGTTTTATCCCAGGCAGAGGAAGGTGTGAGGCTCACATATTTGTCTACTGTTTCTGGCTGGGGGAACCCAAGGGCTGGGCTTTTTGGGTTCTTCCAAAATAGGAAAGCGTGAATGTGCTGATGGATGGGGTGGTTTGCCAATGGTCATTTCCAAGTCCATTTCGGTGGTGGGTACCAGCCTCACAGCATCAAACGCACCCTCTCACATAGTGAAAAGCGCCCCTCCCCTCTGTTTATCTCAGCCAGTTTTATTTAAATTTTTATTGGCTCTGGGAAACAAAAGTAATCAGAGGGAGGAAGAGAGGGAGACAGAGGGGAGAAGAGAAGGATGGAGCCAGAGAAATGAGAAAGTGAGTTGGGGGGAGGACTGGAGCAAGAAGGGGATAGGGATGCTTGTGTATTGAACACTGGAGCCAAGCCAGGATAAAGACATTTCCTCAACACCTTGACGTGTAACCAAGGAATTACTTTGAAGGTATTTGAACAAATTAGTAGAGTCACAACTCAGAAAAGTTTAGAAAAAGTTTTCTTACTATTAGCATTCACAAAGAATAAGTGGGAAACTTTTCATGTAGGAAAAATAAGCATGATACATTGGCTGTGTATAAATAATTGTATTTAAATTCTATCTCACATTTTTTTCTCAAACGATGTTACTGAAGGTCACCAGCCTCTGAGAGCATAAAGTTACTTATCTCTTGTTTTCATATATATTTTATTGTGTGTGTGTGCAATTGTGGACATGTGCACACCTGTGCTTCACCCATGCTTGTGTGGTGGTCAAGGGACAAATTTGTACCTTTCTCCTTCTGTCAGGAAGGCTCTAAGGCTCAGGCTTTGCAGCAAATGCCCTTACCCACAGAGCCATGTTGCTGGCCCCTCAAGTTCCCTTTTCAAGATGTTAAAGCATTTTGCCTGGTATTGTACCATTTTATACTCCGGCCATTGAAGACGAGACACATTCAGGTTTTAAAGGCATAGCAGAACTAAGCCTCTTGTGCGCACACATAATACACAAGGATCTAGTTTGGGGAAAACAGTTGGTCTGCAAACCTCTGACAAGGACAGTCAGCCAGCTGGTGCTCTACTCCCAGGGGCTGCCTGAGGATATGGTTTCTTGCCTTCTCCTCAGACATACTGTGTTACTGGACAGCCCTCAGACACCTTCTATGTCATCTGCAGCAGAAGCTCTGAGTGGCAGTGCTGACCAGGGCACATTCCAGCTGGTTATCAGTGGTATCCACGGCATTTTGGCTAGTATGGAATCCCATGACACTGGAGGCCACTGAGTTGGTGCTTCACCTGAAGACAGTGTCTGGGGATCCTTGGTGGCTTTGAATAACATAAAAGATCGTTCATTTCTCATCCAAGCAACTAGCAACATGTTACTTGTGACATGTGTTTGTAGACTGTAACACCCATGTCTGTTCAGACATCTCATTTATTTCTTCCCCTGCTGTAATGAAAGTGGGCCATTGACTGGGAGGTTCACTGGGCAGGCTCCTCAGCAGAGTCCAGGACAAGGCCAAGATCCTCCCTACATGGGACTCACAAAGTTCTCGTTTTTATTAATTAAGCTCCAGAAAATGTTATGTCATGTAGAGGGAAATGCCAGCTGTGCTTGATAATATAAAAATGTGACTATTTCAGGTCCATAATTTTGCTCATTCTAAAGATTGGACATGCAAGCAAACCCTTCACAGCTCTGGGTTCATATCAATAGAACTTTGGGCAATAAAATTGCCTTTGAGATCAGGAATGAAGCATGGAGTGGAGTCACTACCTAGATTAACATAATCTCTCTGGTGATGTACATTTTTTTTAAATAGACAGACATGTTGAGTATGTGCCTTGAAAGAGATAATTATTTTGTTTAAATAGCATTAGATAACTTGAAGATAAGCACTCAGAAAATAGAAGTCAGACACAAGTTTTTTGTTTTGTTATGTTTTGGTTTTTTGTTTGTTTGTTTGTTTGTTTGTTTTCCAAAAAGAAGAGATCTAAGGCCTGGTGAGATAGCTTGGTCAGTTGGGCAAGTGCTTGCACTGCAAGGTTGAGGATAAGAGTTCAAGTCCCAGACCCACAGTTAAAAACTAAGCTGGATGTGGTGTCTTGGTTGTAACCCCAGCACTGGGAGGCAGACAGGTAGATCCCTGGCATCTCAAGCCAGTTAGCCAAGACTTCTTGGCAAGTTCTGGGCTATTAAAAGGACCCTGTCTCAGAGACAGAGTTGGACTGTATCTGAAGAATGACCCAACTCATTTAGACTTTTGCGAATTGGAAACACATAGATAAGAATGTCAACATTTTTATCTGTACATGTTTGTGCCATTTGGAAAGGTATCTTAAAGCCATCCTTTTAAGTTTACATTAGAAAAAGAAATAATATCATTAACATTGTTATCTAGCCATTTAAAACAATTTATAAATTTGAGAGGGATTGAGTTGTAAACTTAAAATAATGATAACATCGTTTGTATTCTTGCATATACAGGCTTGTCCAGGGCTTGTAAAATATGATCTGGACTGTTGAATAGTTCAGTGCAGCCCCAGACTTCCCTAGCTTTGTGCTGATCTTCGTAAGGGGACATGTGGAAGCCACAGCTGTGAGCAGTCATGTGACCCCAATTCTCCCAGGTACCCAGAAACATCAGGCTGTGTCTTGTGGTTTCCATTTCTTCAGCTGGTCATTGAAGGGAAGTCCCAGTCAAGTGACTACTGCTTATTGCTCCAAACCCAACCTTCTCACAAAAGTATTGTGATATGCATCTTATTGAAGTTCACACATTGTCAAAAAATGATAATAGCCAGAGACCAATTATCCTAAACCACATACTGTAGTTGTGGTATTTACAGCCTGAACCTTCTGCATGATGCTCAGTGTGCTGTCTCTCTCAGCATTAGAGCGAACTATCTCCAAAGACCTTTACATATTGAGAACACTTATAGACAGACTGTACTTGAAGAGCTCCATGAAATTCCAGCCAGAGTACTTCATGCCTAGCACTCCCCATACGCATATCCCGGCATCCTTAGGCTCTTCACATGTTGGCCTTCCTAGTTTAATATCAGTCCAAATCTTTGAATCAGATGTTGGGGTCAG